CATGAAACAAGTATGTCACACATCAATTATCATGCATTGTAAAACTTCAAATGTTGAAACATAATGGAGACAAAAAAATAATTATCATATCATTAGAAAAATAATTGAACCAAACTTCAAAATTGTCATCCAATTAAGTTCTTTAGTCAAATAATGCCTACAATTACCACTGAAAAATAATTGAACTAAAGTACAGCTGGAAAATTGGTGTCGATGGTTCTGCAACAAAGAAAAAGCCCAAGTCTCTAATGCACGTAGAACACTAAGCTTTAAACTCAATTCACTGCATCAATCTATGCAAATATTGGATGCAATAGGTATATAATAATTCCCCTCTAGAATACATTATTTTCAATATGATTAAACACACACTTTATTTAAAGAAAATGAACGTACTTATTTATTTATTTACTTTTAATAATAAACACACTTTTATATATATATAAAAAGTATTGCCTTTCTTTAATTTAAGAAAAGATGACAAAATTAATTGATCTCAGGAATTTAATTGTATTTGTAGGATGATTCATTTATTATCGTGTAGATAATAGTTTTAATATTGTTTCTTAATGATCATGTCTATTTATCATTGATTCTGTAATATATGGAGCCTGTCTTATTAAACTTTTTTGTTCTTTTTGTCTTGTTAAAATTTTGGAGAAAGAAAGGATAAGAAGGTATTGGAAAATGGTGGCAACAGGACGTGACTTTGTTGAATCCCATTGGCTGCCCATGAATGATTTTGATAAAGACCGTCGTCTATGATTGCTACATTATGCCTACCGCAAATATCAAGATTCAATAATAATCTATGTGTTAACAGAATTAATTGAATCCGAAAAAGACTAATAAATTATAAAACTTATGTTAATCAACTTCGCTAATTCTTTGGTTTTTTCTTCATTATTATCAGATGATTTATGTATGATGGACCACTGTATTTAATAATTAAAATATTTAAATGATTATTTGCTGATGCATATGGATTAATAATATAGCGGTCCACCATCAACGTTTATTTGTAGATATTTTCGCTTGATTTTTACGAATTACCTTGCATTTATGGTTTTCCACATTTTATGCGTTCGTAAATGGAAAAATTAGAGTGTATGGATGTGCAAATATAAAATAGAGTTAACCACCGAAAGTTGTTGTTGCGTGTGTTTTTTTAAGAAGTGTTTTTTATTCAGGGTAAAATTATAATTTCATACTCACAATGGAAATAAACTCGAATTAAAAATTGTTAAAATCATAACAACTTTGAATTTGACTTAAAATTGTTAATATAAGTATTTTGATATTTGTATTTCTCAAGACAAAATTCAATTCCTATCTTAGATATTAAGTTTTTCTTAAAGTTTATTACTAAAATGAGCGGATTTAGTGTTAGAAAACTATAACTTCTAATTATATATAAAAAATATAAATTTAACCAAAATTAAATGATAAAATTATATAAGAGTAAAATAACTAATATATATATACTAGGTATTTTATTGGTACAAGTTATTTCACACACTTCTATAATTTCTCTTATTACATGTAACTTTTCTTGCGAATTTTTATGAAAAATTCGCAAAAAACGTTGTTTCTACAAATTTTTCTACAAAATTTTATCTGCAGGTAATACCTTCATAGATAATATATTTTTGCAAATTTTAAAATTTACAGGAAATTTTTCAGCGAAATTTCTTGAAAAAAAAATTCGCAGGAATAGTTTTTACAAAAAAAATTAAAAAAATTACTATAAATTCTATCAATAATTCTTCAACTTTCAAGTGCTCACAATGAATTCATCTGAAGCATTCTCCAACATGTGATACATAATCTTTTAAATTTTAAGATTGTAGATTATAAGCCTAATACTCAACCAAACAAATCAACTTGTAAGCTAAGTGTTGCCCCAACTTATATACTCTTTAATTGTTTTATTTTTAATCGATGTGGGACTTGAAATTTTTTAAAAATATTAAACTTATAAATTTAAATATATTTTTTTTATTTTTCCTGCGGATTAAAATTTGCAGGAAAATTCGCAAGAAAAGTTACTTGCAAATTTTTTTCTACCATTTAGTAAATACTTGTGAATTTATTTTTGCAAGAAATAAAATAAAATTCTTACAATATTTTCTGCAAATTTTTACCATGGAAAAAAATCTATGATCATTAAAGTTGTAGCAAAATTTGTAAGAAATATCTGTAAATTATTTTTCGCAAATAAATTCGCAAACTACGAATATTTTTTTGCAGAAAAATTCACAGGAAAATGACACTTTTCTAGCCGTGGTAATTATTATTTTTATGATTAAAATTATTTTTATTACTCAAAATTACATTAGTTATCATCATTGCTTCATTAACTTTTTAAAAACTAATGTTACATTCCAATATTATCTATTTTTTATTTTACTATATGTATCACTCTATTATTATCTAATAAAATATATTTAATAATTATTTTGTATTATGTATTATGTATTATGTATTTTTATTTTACATTCCAATAAGTTTGCTATATATATCATCGATATTATATGATTGTTACCCTAATGCTCATACTTTTCCATTTTTATTTTACTATATTTTCTTTTAAAATAAAAATCTAGTTAGTAATGCTATTTGAATGCAATATTGCAAATTTACTAGTATTTAGATTTTTTTTTTTTTTGTGAAGCACTAGCATTTAGGTATACCGGATTCTCTTTAGTCCTCTTGAACGAAGAGTTGTCTACTTTGTAAATTTAAATTAGAGAAATGTCAGTAAAATATTTTATATGTAAAAAAAAACTCTTTCTAATTTATATTTTATATGGACCGAAATTTATTAAAAATTATTATAAAATATAGGTTCTGTTTATATTTATGAATCTTACTCATAATTTTTAATTATAAATAATTTTTTTATCAATATGAAGAAATATATTAGAAAATAGTGTGTTGGCTACTTAATAATGATTCCTGGTAACTAATTTTATTTTAAATAAGAATCGATTTCAATTAAAAAAATAAATAAGAAAAGGACAATTAAAACTTAGAAAAGTATACAAAGGCATGATTTCCGTTTTTGAAAAATTAAATGATAAAATATCTTTTAACCTTCTATAAATTTAGTGCAAGTTAAAACTTTACCTCAGCCCTGTTCATCTTTGGAATTAAACGAAGAATCTAATAAAATGTATTAACAATATAATTTTTATATTATCTTTTAATCACAAATTATTATTACATAGTAAAATTATTATAATTTATAATAATTAAAAAGTCATATTTAGTATAATTAAATTTTATATAAACTTTTTTGCATGACAACTCACAATATATGTGACTATGATATTTTGCTCCATGCTATTTCATTTATTTTGAAGTGTTCAAGCAAGGTCATCTAATAGTCATGAAAATTATTAGAAAATTCCTTTTCCTTTCATAAAGTTATTTATTGTACATTCTGAATTCCTAATCAATTACATTAGACTGTTTAAGATGATTAACTGACTATTTATTTGCAACTTAGCACTTGAGCCTAAAAGTTGGATATTGTCTAAGCTCCTAATTGATTACATTAGACCAACTAGGATACTGATCTGGTGACCTCTTCTCACCTTAGAGTTCATGTCTCAGGGTTGTATACCCTTTGGACTCCTAACTCATTACACTAGACTAATTGGAATAAATTGATCATAATGTTTGATTGAGTAGTTTCATGTCTTGAATCCAATAGGAGATAATGAACTACTCTTTTTAGCTTATTTACTAATCACTGTCAAATCTTTATTAATTGACCAGGGACAAATCTAATGATTGTTTATGATGGGTAGAAAATTTGTACAATCATATTAAGATTTTCAGAATTATTATCATAAAATAAATTCGCAATATGAATATGTATATAGTTAATGCTTATGGTTAAGATGTGCTAAAATTACTATGTAAAATATTCTGAATTTGCATAATCATTAATTTTTTTTAAGAGAAGATCTTCCATATTAAAGCATTTATTAAATAAGTCTATAAAATTATAAGGTTAATATAAATATATAATTCTCTAAATTATCAAATACTGTTGATTTTCATTAAATTATCAGTGTAATTTTAAGTATTAAAGTGATTAATTATTTAATAATTTAAAGGATTAAATAATGATTTCAAATACTGAAATAACTATTTATAATTTTAGAGACGACTAAATTAATTATGATTATAATTTTCGATGTTAAGATTAAAAAAGATAAAGATTGGTTACTTGCAAATTGCAGTGATGCTAAAAGAAGATTTAATTAATTGATTCTATACTATTAATTTTTGTCTCACACAACATGATGAATGATTGGATACATAAATATTCCCTACCACAAAATGTTCATGGCTGATAGTGCAGTGGGGTTTTAGGGTAAAAGAGACTGAGCAGTAATCACTTCTCAAATTAAACTCCAATGGAACTGGGTCCTCACTCATGTGACCATTATAAAGGAACTCACATAGTCTTCACAAATTCTAAAACCCAGTGTCTGACAACATGGGTTTAACGATATTGACTTAAATTGGAAACTCCCGGCAATTGGGGAAAGACATGTTTTTCTTGTTCCTAATCATAATCAAGGGAATATCTATACATTAACATTCATGCTAGTAATATTCTTTCCATAATCATCAATGGTGTTTCATATAGTTTGGGAAACCAGTGAAAATGGAAAGTAAAGTAGAGCCACCATTTTGGAATCAATAAAGACAAGCATTGAAATCGGAAAACTATTGTCTAGAATAACGTGACACACCTTGTAACTGTGCCAGCACTATTGGAGCCATATTTCACACCAATGTAATTTTTTTTTGTCCCATACAATTGCGTTAGGCCACTAGAGGAAAGGTTTCTAAACTGAACTGTTTCGCAACAAAACTAATGCAACAGTACAAATTAGACCTCTTCATTTAGAAAGTAACTAAGGAACCCGTTGGGGATAATTAAGGATAAAAAAAAAAGAAAAGAGAGGAGCGAGGGAAATTGGCCGGAATGTACTGTGAAGATTCGAACGGCGGCATTGGCATTTAAAAAGTCAAATGGTTGAAGCAATGATATGACTCAAATAGAAAGAGAAACACTCTTTACCTCACTCTCTTAATTATTTTTCCACATAGGCAACGCAAATTACCCGAAACGAAACGAAACGAAACGCAGCAGCAGCCTCTCTCTCTATAACTTTCTCTCTCTAACATTCGATTATCGTGATGGAGAGCCTCCCGCTGGAGACGGCGGAGAAGATAATCCTCCGGTGGGACTCGACGGCGTCGGAGGAGGCGCGCGACAAGATGATATTCTCCGGCGACAGGGAGGACGCCGATCTCTACCTGCAGGCGGTGGACGAAATCCAGCGCTCGCTCTCCTCCGTCACAGTCTCCGATAAAGTGAACTCCGCCATTCAGATCGCGATGGCGCGCTTGGAAGACGAGTTCCGGAACATCCTCATCTCGCACACCAACGCCTCCTTCGACCCTACCTCAGAAGAAGAATCTCACCAACCGAATCAAGACCCTCCTTCTTCCTCTTCCTCGCCGAAGCACCCTCGCAACAACGACGATAGCGACGAAGTTGAGAAGACCTCGCTGCTCCTCCGCTTCGACAGCGACGGCGCCGCCTCCAGCGCCGCCAGCAGCTACCGCTCCACGAGCAGCATCCGCGAGCTCGATCTCCTCCCCGCCGACGCCGTCTACGACCTCCGCTGCATCGCCGAGCGCATGGTCTCCTCCGGCTACCTCCGCGAGTGCATCCAGGTCTACGGCAGCGTCAGAAAATCCTCCGTCGACGCGAGCTTCCGCAAGCTCGGCGTCGAGAAGCTCAGCATCGGCGACGTGCAGCGCCTCGAGTGGGAGCAGCTCGAGAACAAAATCCGGCGATGGATACGCGCCGCCAAGGTGTGCGTTAGAACCATCTTCGCCAGCGAGAAGAAGCTCTGCGAGCAAATCTTCGACGGCGTCGGAACCGCCATCGACGACGCCTGCTTCATGGAGACCGTCAAAGGTCCTGCTATTCAGCTCTTCAACTTCGCCGAGGCGATTAGTATCAGTCGCCGGTCGCCGGAGAAGTTGTTTAAGATTCTCGATTTGCATGATGCTTTGACTGATTTGATGCCTGATATTGACGTTGTTTTTGATTCCAAGTCCTCGGAGTCGATTAGGGTTCAGGCTGCTGAGATTTTATCCCGTTTGGGTGAGGCCGCGAGGGGTATTTTGTCTGAATTTGAAAACGCTGTGCTTAGGGAACCTTCTAGGGTTCCTGTTCCTGGTGGCACGATTCACCCTTTGACACGTTATGTTATGAATTATATAAGTTTGATCTCTGATTATAAGGTTACTTTGAATGAGCTTATAGTGTCTAAGCCTTCCACGGGGTGTAGGTACTCCGGGGATCCTGGGATACCTGATATGGATTTGGGGGAGTTTGAGGAGAAGACTCCTTTGGATGTTCACTTGATTTGGATTATTGTGATTTTGCAATTCAACTTGGATGGGAAGTCCAAGCACTATAAGGATGCCTCTCTGGCTCACTTGTTTGTGATGAACAATGTGCACTACATTGTTCAGAAGGTGAGAGGGAGTCCCGAGTTGAGGGAGATGATTGGGGATGACTATTTGAAGAAGCTTACCGGGAAGTTCCGGCAGGCGGCCACGAGTTACCAGAGGGCTACCTGGGTGAGGGTGTTGTATTGCTTGAGGGATGAGGGGTTGCATGTGAGTGGGGGGTTTTCTTCTGGGGTGTCCAAGAGTGCTCTAAGGGAGAGGTTCAAGGCCTTCAATGGGATGTTTGAGGAGGTTCATAGGACTCAGGCAGTCTGGCTGATACCGGATTCACAGCTCAGGGAGGAGCTGAGGATATCGATATCAGAGAAGCTGATTCCCGCGTATAGGTCGTTTCTTGGGCGGTTCAGGAGCCACATAGAGAGTGGTAGGCATCCGGAGAATTACATCAAGTACTCTGTGGAGGACCTGGAGGATGCTGTTTTGGACTTTTTTGAAGGGATTCCTGTTTCCCAGCACTTGAGGAGGAGATCTGAGTGATGGAATGGACTAGTGGAGTTAAGTGAAGTGAAATGGAGTTTTGCAACTTAGAAGCTAGGACATATTCTTTTAATTTTTTCCATGGAGCGTTCAGGTGATTGAGTGCTGGCCAATCTGAGATTGCTCAAGCTCTCGGGTGCTCCAACAAGATTTACTACCACGATCCAGGATTCTCAGGATGGAAACATTAAGATTCTCTAATCTTGTGTTGAAGATTGGTGTGGCTTGTGAAAAGCCAAGTAGCTACCTCACCCTGAATGCTGCTACCTGTAAGCAAGCACGTTATTTGATTTTTCACCACATTCTAGATTTTGTTTCATTTGTTTATATTGGAATTTGTTGTACTTGTGTGTTTTTTTTTATTTATTTTCTCTAAGGTCTGAAAAGGGCTGTTTCTTTTGTAGCTTCAAATGACTCTTATACAATGTGATAGTTTTGGCACTAATAGATGCATGTTCAAATTGAAATCTCAGTCTTAGGTACCTTTCGCCTTTGGGCACCTGTATCTTCTGTTTTTTTTTTTTTTTTTTTCTTTTCTTTTCTTGTATCTAACAGATTCATACGAAAAACAGAAGAATATTAGATGAATGCGCACACACCACACAACACGTGAATTGTTGATCTTGTGACTTTGATAAAAGACCTTGCTTCAATAAGTCACGGTACATTTGGTTACCAAGTAATAATATGTACCAAGCCTTATAGCTCTTGGTATGGGCGATCCGATTTGAACTACTTTCGGTAGGCTGCATTCTTGGACACTACAGTGTTGTAATTGGATGTTAGTGCTGGTTAATGGTGAATTTACATTCTCTTGACCAGCTAATTACTAATTACCTATTGCTTACAAGTGTTTACAGTTTTATTGAAAGGTTGTGTGAGGCTCATTCTGAAAGAAGGCTAAGTTCCTGTACTTGAATGGTAACTTTGTAAGCATATTCTTAACCTTTTAACGGAAATACGCCATAATTTCTTATTTGTGTTGTTGATAAGCATTCTGTTTTTGACTTGTCCCATTCGAGCAGCTTCAGAGTCCCTTCCTGACTAGAAAACTAGAAGCACTTGGTAGTTCTTCAGGGGATGAGTTTTGGTAAGATAAAAATAATTGGTGTTACGGGTAGAAAGGGACTCTTGTCAGAAATTCAGAATGGAGCAACAATATAGAGCACCTAACTTTTTGTATTTTAGATTTTTAGCATATCAACGGCGTCAATGACCTTGGAGAGGGTAGGTTACTCCCTTGACAGGAGGGACTGCCACATAAAGAGGTGGACAACAATATTTACACGCCACTTCAATTACATCATTTTTGCATCACTTTCCAGTAAGGGAGTGTTTTTACAATAAAAAAAAGAAGAATCAATGAACTGGGTTTTGTTGTAAATTTGAAATCACAATGGGATATTAGTAAACATTAAATATTACATTTTCTTATAAAAACTTTTAATGAGGAAAGAGTAAAGGAAATGGTGTGTAACGATCATTTTTTATAGGTATTGATCTCAAGAGTTATTAGAGACAACCCAGAAGCTCATGCAGTTTCGTGCTTAGAGACAGCACAAGGCTAAAAATCTGTGGTTGGATCACCTAAAATTCTGTTTCCATTTTTGTTAGCTGTTTGTCACGAACTTTGCTTCTGCGTACATAATCTGCTTATGTTCAATTCAACATCATGAACAGGAAACAATATCAGACCTTTCCAGCGAAGCTGGATCAAATCATTATTTTTTATTCCATATTTACTTAGATAAAAGATCATGCATAAATGAAAACGAAAGCAATTGTTCAAAATTATTTAATATACTTGATGTATATAGATGGATTTATGTTTCTTATTTATAAAAATGAAGATTATTTTTCATAGCTTGTTAACTACATGAAGGCGAAACACTATTTGTAGTTGCAAATGACATACTGCGCAAGGGACACAAATTTTATGAGTTTTCTGTAATAAGAGCTCACAATCAATTAAATGTGGGAGTATTTTATAGCAATTTTACTGTCTGAAGGTTAAGAAAATTGTAATATTAGAAGGGTCAATGAGCTCACAATCAAATAGGGGTGCGTTTAAGTTGATAAAAATAAAGTTTGCATTACGTTGGGATTAACTTATTTGTATTAAATTAATCTACAAATAAAAAGTTTGCTGGGATCCTTATAAATAAGTAATTTTTTCCCAATAATTTGCACATCTGAACATGGAACTTAATAGACTGCTGTTTACCTCTCTTCCTCCTTATAGGCAAATGATTGAATTATTCAAGTCCTAAAAAGTAAAATTGCTATTGATACACAAATAAAAGTCAGGATTCATTGAAAAAGACAATAGAAGATTCAATTCGTTTTGATAATTGATAAAAACTTTTTAAAGACTATATCAACTCAACTCTATCTTTAAGACGCAGCAATGTCCTTAGTATCACGTAAAAATAAACAAAAAAATCCATGGATTCGAAACATAATTCATCAATACTGAATAGTAAAAAACTAATATGTGCTATACAGCTGGAAACTTGAAAATGTAAAAGTTCTTGCAAGTGTCCCCACATGTATGCATGCACATGGATAACATACTAACATATCTCATAATTGAAGAAAACTTCCTTTGTATAAGTAAAAAGTGACTAAATTATATTCTTGTGCATTGGCATCACAGGAACACACAGCACTCTATCATGTAATCCAATCTCGTAAGGATCTATTTGCTGACAAAACATCGAGAGTAAAGGCTAATGAAGGAAATTAAAGAATAAAAGGAAAAGAGTCATGGGGCTAATTTTCAGGAGGGATACAATTGAAGCATAGAATCAGAGCTACATTCTAGTTTATTCTCTCTTGTCTTCTTCTAAATCATCATTTGAATCCCCGTTACTGCTTTGCACTGGTCTAGCATCTGGCACACTTGGAAAATCTTTTGAAGAAATAGGTGATGGTTTTATGAGCGTTAAAGTAGTTTCATCCCTATCAAACTCATCGCTCCCATCATCACGGTAAGCATATCTGTCAAGAGTGAGATACAAATGATGCATATGAACAGAAAGCATTAAAGAAAAAGCTCATTTTGCTCTTGCAGACATTAAAGAATAAAGATGGATAATGGAAGAGGGTGAGGGGAGGGATTTATACCGTGTTGCACTTTGAGATGGTGCCCAAAGAATGCAGATAACACACAGGAGAGAGTAAGACAGAACTTGCCAGAAGGCAGGGATGATCCATGCATTCTGCCACTGTTCATTGTATACATCATTTGATTTGAAATAAAGCTGAAAAGAAAGTTGAAAAGTTAGCACTTAAAATATCTAAACTTCATTGATGTATTAAATTAATAAATATGCAAAACACATCTACTTCCTAACACATTCCAGCTCTAGTCTTGATCAAAATTTACAACTCATTTTAATTTGTTTATAGCATCTGAATCCACTGATTGCATAGACCAATGCCCTTGACCCAGCTATAAGATAATTACGCCTAGTTAACACAAAGCAATTGAAGCATGTTTCTTCCTTTGAATTACCTCATAACATATCCAGCCTACAGATACGATGACAGCTGCTGCCAAAGCATTAGTAAACTTCCGGTAAATATCCAATTTTATCATCATCCTTCTGGTCTGTCACATGAAAAGCACAGAAGAGTCAATTTTAGATATTCACATTAAAAGACATGAAAGACTGAATTATCCGTCATCAAATTATGTGGTGCAGCATCATAGCAAAAGTTTAAGATAATCAGCCTAATTTGTACATAAAAGCTATAAAGTAGAATAGCATTCATAGAATAAGATCATCAGGGTATGATACTTTGAGCTTGGAAAGAATATCCCATTATTTTAATTAAAAGAATTACACTATAAATTGCCCATTAATTGTTGTCTTCCTCCAAAAGTATCATGACATAACCATTAAATATCAAACATGAAAAAAACAAACTATTGGCATACCATAGGAGAGTTGTGTAATGACCTCTCCCATGTTCCTTGATTACTTCAAGCACTTCACTCAATATCTACCCGCCTTTATATCCTGATTTATTAGTTACAAATGAAACGGTTATTTTTTACAGCAATTTTCACTTCCAGAGTCTTCTGCTGGATAGCTATATCACAAATACTGCCCTGTTGTACTGTAAATTTCAAAAAATACCATACCATAATAATACTCCTGCTAATTGCTACCCACATAGTGTTGTTTTACATAAAAACTAACAAGAGAAAACTAATTATATATGAGACAGAAGAAAAAAGCTCACTGATTTTCATGGAATAAAGAATATTGGGACAATCCATATGAATACCTGAAGCTTAGTTAAAGTTGCAGAGAGTGAAGTGAAAATCCAAAGAATGAAGAACACATCCAATACTGCAGAAGGAAGAACCAAGAACAGTTTTGCCTTTCCAGAAAGATCACTTACGGCACCAACATTTTCTACCAATTCAAGAACTTCAGATGCAAGAAAGAAGGTTCCACCAAGCATAACTACCTTTGATGTTAACCCACCAAGGGTAGGTCTCACAACACCATAGCCCATTGAAACCATTAAGATGACCAAACGTGCCACTGTCCGCTTAACAGTCCCAAAGGTGACTGCCCATATGGTTGTCCCAGTTGGCCTGATTCCAGTCTCACTGAATTCAGCATAGTCAAAGTACCACAGTGCCATCTCAAACATGCCTAGGGTTATCACTAGGGTGATGCAGTTCTGCAGGGGAAATATTTCCTTCCAAAATCTAGCATATTGAGAGAACCAAAAGATCCCAAGCAATACATATGCAAAAGACATGAATTGGTAGAAAACTTTCATAGGTGCCATTCTACCAGGCAAATAACCAGAGGGATTTTTCCACACAGTTTTCCCTTCCACAACCAATTCTTTAAGCCTTGTGTCACAATGGATGAAATACAAGTTATACATCCCAGTTTTCGTGATTTGTATAGTGTTCAATGGCAGCACTGCCTCTTCATCATCCATTTCAAAAGAGGCACCAAAAACTTGAGGCCAGTCAGGATTCTCCACCGTAGGGCGGTAAATGACCTGCCCTTCGGTACATACACCGAGTTTAGCTAGATCACCCGTGCAGCAGACAGCCCTTTGACCCCCATAGGCCGAACCACCAATTCTTTCTCTATCTTCAACTTCAAAAACAACAGCTTGAATTGGCCATGAACTAAAGTTCGAAAACTCCTTGTTTCTCCGAAATGTAATTCTTTCAAACCTGGTTCCCACATTACAACAGAGATAAAATCCAATCAACAAAACAACATCAAAAACCAGCATAATTACCAGCAAAGTACCAAACAAAATTTAGTGGTACGTATCATGCTTTGGGACTGACAGCCACAAAAACAAACAGTTTTCATCAAACTAATGCAAATCCTATGAGCATCCTAGCAGCTTTACTTAACATTTTCAAATCTGACAAGTAAATTTGTACATTTTACTTACACATTGAAGTGAATAAAAGGGCATCTACATCCACTACTACAACAATAATAAATAAAAAAATGCTACTTTTACCAGAAACCTCACCCACACCCACACCCACACCCACTACACCAAAAGCTGAATGCAAACTTCAAACAAGTTCCAAAACACGTCAATTACATTTTTTTTATATACAAAAAGACATAAAATAATTGTGAATCTAGCAATAAAATGTAATGAAGAATGAGGAGAAACATTAAAAGGAGATGAGAGTGTGAAATGACCGTATGTAAGAGCCTGGATTTGAAGGTGGGGAGGAGGTATCGGTGAGATTGGGGGCAGAAGCGTAAATTCCTTCGCTGCCTCCATGAACGACGAAGGCGTTGCCTTTGGCGGAGAATTTCTCCCCTCTGTAATCGTGAACCGAAGCTTCGGCGCAGAGGGATAGCAGCAGCAGAAAGGCCAGAAGAGAGACCCCACACATTTTCAGAGAGAGAGAGAAAGTGGATCTACGAAGGGACGAGTCAAGAAGTGTGAGTGTGTGTGAGAGAGAGAGAGAGAGAGAAGAAGAAAAAAGAGTTGAGTTTGTTAAGATTGAGGTTTGTGTGTATACGATGAAAGAAGAAAAGGAGTGTCTGTGTGTCCTTCTTGAGTTGAAAAAAAAAAAAAAAAAAAAACCAGCTCAGGTGAGTGAGGGATTTAGATTTAAGAGGTTTTAACAGAGTGATTAAGAGGTAGATTAGTGAAATTGAGGGTGATTAGTGAGAGGATGCAGTTGGAATTATGTTTAATTTATGATATATGATATTGACACAAATTAATTTCTGTGATTGTTTTATTTTTAATTGAATAAGTGCTAACTGGATTCTCTCCGCATTTTCCTTGTTTTCTTGTTAGTGCGGGAAATGACAGAGGTGTCGGTGTCTATATATTAATTGTAAAATAAAAAATAAAAAATAAAAATTGTCATTTTCGTACTGCGTTTTAGGTGTTGACTGTAATTTCCTTTAGCTACTGATGTTATGATTCTTGAAATTCAAACGACGTGCCTAAAAAGTCATTACTATTACCACAGCTGATTTTCTTTTTATTTATATAATATTTAACTTACAATAATAGTTTATTTCTTTATATAAAACTAAATTCATTTCATTTTATATCAGTGGGATTGAGACACAAACTAAATTCATCTTATTTTATATTAGTTGAGTTAAGACATTTTATATTTTTATTAAAATTAAAATTAAATAATAAAAATATATTAGTCTAATATTCTTTTTGATAAAATACTAATTAGACTAATATCTTTTTTTGAATTCATAAAAAAAATATTAGTCTAATTGATGTTTTAGTTGGTCTCTAAATCATAAGATCTTGAGTTTGATAAAAAAAAATATTAATTTTTTAATAATAAAAAGATATAATAGTATATTAAATATAGAGAGTACTATAGTTACTAAAAAGAGTGTTTCCTGTATATTAATATAGATATTGATTATTTTTAAACTAAAATAATTTGAATTAAAGTATGTTATCTTAATTTGGTAAAATGTATTAATTATAAATTTTGTAAAGAACATGTATTCTAGTTGTTTAAAAGAGAGATGAGTATTAATTAGGAGAAAAAAATAATATGAAACATATACTCTAATTGATTAGAAGATATATGTGTATTAATTGTAATACTATGCGTTTTCATTAATATTGTTGATTGTATTAATTTAAATGTTGTTGTGATTAGTTGATTAGTTATTGTGAAACTCTTAATGATTTAGGAATCTTAATGAGTTTTGTTGTTTGGAAGTTACTTTGAGCAAAAGTCAAGTTTGGTATATTATAGGGAATGTATATAAGATTTTTTTTAAGAAATAGACTTCATAAGTTTATTTTCTTAAGAAAGTTAGAGAGAGAAAGACTTTGGAGCCGAGGAGAACCACTTTCTCTTCCGACTTCACGAGATTTCTTATATCCTTCCTCTAAGAGTGTGAATTTTAGTAGTTGGTTAGATCATTCAAAGCTTCAGAGTCAAGAATCAAAGTAGTGGTTGTGACCATGCAAAGTTGGTTGGAAAAACTCCATCTTCTTCCTTCTCTATCTTTTCTATTTGATTTAGAGGTAAGGAGAGTTTGTCGATTCTTATTTATTGGATTCTTATTGTTACTTCTCTATCTAAAATCATCAATTCGAATTGTAATGTTGAATGGAGATAGGATTGAAAGCGGAGGTTGTGTAGTTTGGGTTGCTTGGTTCTTATGAGGAGAAATTGGTGTTTGAAGAGATTGTTGATTGTATGCTGAATTTTATTGCTTATATGAATTGTGTATGATGTGTAGTTGTGAATTCTAGTGTTGCAAGTTGAGTTTTCTTGAGTTTTAGGAGCGGATAGCCAAAAATGCGAATCTACCAAGTGCAAAATTTATCATCGTGTCGAGCATAACTTCATGGCATTGGGCGTGATGCATGTTAGAGGCTCTCTACCTCATTGACACCAAGCGCAAAATTGGTAGTGACGAGCGTGAATTAGAGGAGAGCTCCCTAACTTGATCATGTCAGACGTGGGTTTGGACCATACCAAACATGATTAACACATGGACTCTTTGTCTAATTCATGTTGGGTACGGGCAGTTTGGCTTCGAGCGTGGGTGGGCTAGAAGCTCTCTGCCTCAATGATGTCAAACACTGAAAAAGTGGCACTAGGTGTGAGTTGTTAAATGAAAGATGATTGATTATTTGATTAAATGTTGAACATATATGTAATAAGTTGAATTGCTCACACGTTGCATATTGTTGTTGATATAATGTGATGGTTGTTGATATTATGTTGATCATAGTTGTAAGTTGATTTAGAGTTGAACTATGTTGGAGTTGTGTGTTGTGAAGTATTGAAGTAGGTTTATTGATAATGTTTAACACATGGAGTCAAATTGTGTTGATTGACTTATGACTAAAGGAGAGGTGTTGTTTTAAAACATGAAGATCTCATTGTGAGGATAAAGTGTTGTTGCGCTTTACGAGTCCAGTTGTTGAAAAACCTTCAAGAAGTTGACTTTTAAAGTGGAGTGTTAAGTCTCCTCTAGGTCCTTAGTTGATATAGTATGAAAGTCAGGTTGAGTTATACTAACTATAAAGTGACCAATATAAATTAGTATAGGAGTCAGGTCGAGTTATACTGATTATAAAGCTATCAAATGTAGATCTGTATGGGGGCAAGGTTGAACCATATATATATATAAAGTGACCAAAATCGAGTAAGGCACAAGGTCAGAGGCCAAAATCCCTAACTAAGTACTGAAAAGGAGATAGTATTTGGAAGCTAGTTGGGGGCCAATTCCATAATAGGCTTAGCTATGAATGTTAAATTCATAGTAGACTCACACTCAAACTATTCTAATCCTGACAAGAATACTAGATTTTTCTAGTTTAAGTAGCAAAATTCAAAAAATTGTATTGTGTTGTAGATTTTTATCCAAATTTATTGTTGATCTATCAATTCCAAAAAGATCGCATTGTTAAGTTTGTTTAGTAAAATCAAGCCATTTAAACTACTCACTTGTATTGTAAGAGATCCCTTAGTTGAAATGTGTGACAACACATTGTGTTGTTGTGTTAATAAATTGTAAAGTTGATACATGTTTATATGTGGTATTGTTGCTTAAGTTATTGTGTTGTGTGCAAGATGTGTTGATAAGTTGTAAGTTACGATGTTGTTGTGTTGTTTAAGTTGAAAAAACATGTATGAGTTGTATGGTGTGGTTTATGTTGATGTTGGTAATATAATCATACTTTACCTATATACTTGTTATGTTATTTTTTGTAAGTTTATTCTTACATGTTTCTTTGTGGTTGAACTCTGATGGTCATACTTGGTATGGGACCATGAAAGGGATGCATTGGAGGAGAAGTACATGTAAAGAGCCATGTTGGTGGATGATAGAGTTCTTTTGGTGCTACTTGAGAGTAGCTATTTTATAGTTTTTACTTGACTAACAACTAGAATTTTGTGCTTTTAGTTTGGATTTGTTATAGTTATGTATATATGAACAGAATCTATGTTATAATTTCATTGAGGAACATTTATTATTTCAGTTTGTATATATGTACAAGAACTACTTGCATGGTAATCTTAGTTATTTAATTTTATGCTTTTTTCTATTATAGTTGTTGAGTTGTAAAGTGTATAGACCTACCAAATCTCTACACTAATTAGGAAAGAGAAGTAGTATAAAGATAATTTTGAAAAAAAAAATATATAAGTAAAACAAATTTATTATTATCAGCTAAATTAATTGTTTTTTTAATATTGGTGAATTAAGTAATTGAGTTATATATATAAGAATGGAGATAATAAAAACATAATATTTAAGAAACTTTTGGTACAAAGATTGTTTTTACTTTTCCATGAATTTAAAGTAGGGAA